TTCAAGCAGTGGAACATCACGTTTTTTAGTTTTTTTTTTTGGCTTTCATTAACTTAGTGGAGTTTTTTTTCCTGCTGTACTTTCATATTCCCATTTTGTTGTCAGTCTTCAGCGGCACTGTTTATTCTCCATCGTCTTTATTGAGTACAGTCTTTTCTGTTTGTTTGTTTGTTTTGTTTGAATAAGTTTTCTTATGTGGAAACTGATGTTGGGTGGTCTGTCTAAAATGCTGCTAAACGTCTGTATAATCCGCTAAACCAGGCGCTATGCAATTGTTGCAATTGAATTCTGTTGTATCCAAAGTTCACCGAGTTCACATCTTTTCTAAAGGGGTGCACGGATATATACTGTGATTTAGATAAGTCATGGCTTGTCCAGTAGTTTGCTTTCTCTGAATGCTGCAGTTTTTTATGCATCTAAATGGTGAGGAAAAAGTCAATAGAAATTCCCAACTCTTTAACAGCAACTAAAGGAAGGCTTTTTTTTTTCTGATCTTTTCAATTTCCATGTTTTAAGATTTTTTTTCAAATTAATATTAGTGTTTTTTTGAAAGAAATTTAGACAGTAGAAGAAATCAAATTGGTTCTGAAAAAATTTGAGCTGATTCGCGTTCTTTCTGAGTTGTAAAAAACGTTGTGTCAGTTATATAGCAAATTATTACTGAGTAATGCAGATGATCGTCAGATGGTTTTTATTAGTCAAATTGTTAAGCAAATTGGTCTTATTCACCATTATAATGATGGATTTTCTACGCTCTGTGGTCTTTTTTTTTTGTCTGTCATAAATTTTGATTATTTTTTTCCAAACCTGCTGTTTTCCTTATACTCTTTTCTGAGGCTTCAATATTCGTTGATGCTATATAGATACAGTTGTTCCACTTTTTCCTCATAGATTAAGCTGTTTTCTATGGGGTGTGATCTTATCTGATTGTACAGATTTTTTATCCTTATCTTAATTTTACAAATCTCAGGCGCTCAACTTCTAGTTTTTCCCTCCTTTTTACGAAAACACGATAGGTTGTCTAACTTTCGCTTATTTTCGTTATCTTTATTTACACAGTCTGGAAGCAGAATCATCTGGTTACCTTCCGTCGAATAAATTCACCTTTATCTGATCAACCGCAAACAAAGGTTGTTGTAATAAAAAAAACTGTCCACTGGTTTGCCTCTAATTGAGGCAGTCGGTGATCTCCGGTCTAGTGATCTAGAGGTAGAAGAAGGACCTTTGAATGCTTGATAAATGCTTGCAATTTATCATAGAAAATTTCAGAAGTCTGAAATCTTTTCCACATTTTTCAGTTTTACAATGAGAATCCAGGAGAT